GCCTTGTGAGGAAGTCATCAAGGGCGGGAAGTATATTTATGTTGATCTATCACTTTTGAAATCATCAAGTCATTCTCATGACCTGTCCTTCTTTGAAATTACCAAGTCATTCCCATGACCTGTCCTTCTTTGAAATCATCAAGTCATTCCCATGACCTGTCCTTCTTCTAAATTATCAAGTCATTCCCATGACCTATCCTTTTCTGAAATCATCAAGTCATTCTCATTGACCTGTCCTTCTTCTTGACCTGTCCTTTTAGACCCGTCACTTTTGTAATTATCATACCTCTCTCTTTCAAGACCTGTCTTTCTTTGGATTGCCAAGCCTTTCTTTTTCAAGACCTGTCCTGTCCTTCTTTGAAATTGTCAAGTCATTCCCATGACCTTTCCATGGAGACCTGCCCATTTCTTGGATTCACCGTCTTCATACCAGACCTAGCACTTTTGGATTTGTAGATCACGCTGCATGACCTGTTCGTTTGGATTTGTGGGAGTCCAAACGTTGAGCCTGGCCTTTTGGGTTTTGGAATTTCTCCCCAAAACCTCTCATCTTCCACATTCAAAATTCAAATTCCCCCCTTTAATCATTACCTTTTCCACATGTCAGGCTCTCCTTTCCCCACCTGTCGCCTCGAGCTCCGCCCCTCTTCTCCTATAAATACTCCCTCAACCCACTTCATTCCTTTACTTCTCTCCTTCGCTCCTCAAGTTTTAACCGGTCTACTTTCTCTCTCTAGCCTTCTGCCAAGTAAGTCCTCCTAGTATTTTAATTCTTCCATCTTTCACTTTTTGACCGGTAGGCTGAAGTCATGTCTTCCTCTGACTCACAAAATGTATCCGGTCAATCTTATGGATCGGGTTCTCAACCCTCTTTCTCATCTGAGTCTTCTTCTCCCCCTGTCACTCCTTTGATTCGCCGCCCCTCTCACCAATCTAATTCTCAGGCCCGGGAAATAATTGCCCAGGACCCTGTCCCTTTGAATCAACTGCCCGGTCGATTCAATCACAAGGTCCTTAGCTGGGAGCAATGGGAGGAACGACTGGGATCCTTGGGCTTCCTAGCCCTTGATGTAAGACCGGTGTTCAAAGAGTCCTCTAGGGTCACCAAAAAGGTTCTGGCCGAGGTCCGTACCATCCTCCCACCGGGCTACAAAGTCATTTCCACAACCACCTGGCCCAACATCATTGAACCCCACCAGGGAACCCGGTTGGGTTTCCATATTGCGTCCCTGGAGGGAGGTATTATTTTTCCTCTCCGCCCCCTCCTCGTAGAAATCTGTAAGAAGTTCAAGATTCTGCCCGGCCAGCTTACTCCAAATGCTCACCGGTTCTTGAATTGTTTTGTAAATATATGTGAAAATTTGAAAATCAACCCTTCCCTTTCACTTTTCCTCCACATGTACGAAGTCTTGCCCGGGACTAGTAACTGCCCGGGCTTCGTCTATTTCCATTCCCGCAATAAGAGGGGGTTTGTGACCGGTCTTCCCCCCAACCATAAAAGATGGAAACAAAGATTCGTTTTTATTGAGTTTCTCCCTGACCAGTTTCCACTCTCCAACCGTGAGTGGGCTGACCGGGTTATTAAACCCGAAAGGGTTCACCCGGAGCCCACTAAAGAGCTAGAGGAAGCCTGCGAGAAACTTCTCAAGGGTGATCCTGTGACCGGTAAGCCATACGCCTACGGTGGATGGGTATACTGGTTACCTAACCCGGATGGGGACGTGTCTGCGACCCATGACGCAGGAGATGACCGGGCTGATTCCCCGGATGGTCACGCTGAGGCCGGCTCTCCTCATCCAGGTTGGTTAACTTTCCTCAACCTTTTGGTTTCACTTTCTTTTTGATAAGGTATAAAATCTAACCGGTCACTTGTTGCTTTTGTTCTTTTTTCAGACATGAACTTCAACAGGATGACCACCATCATTGAGGATGATGACGATGATGTCCAAGTCCTCAACTCCAACCGGTCTCCTCTCTCCAAGCCTCCCTCTCCTCCTTACTTCCCTGAAATGGATGGGGCCACAAGTGCCCGGTGTAGCCCTATCCANAGAGCCAACCTGGTGGAGGCGAAGAGGAAGTTGGTAGAGCTGGAGGATGCCTTGGCCCAAGCTGAAGAGACTGCCCGGTCAAAGGAGCAATCCTTTCCTGATGATGCTGCACGATGGGCGGCCGGGCATCATGTCGAGACTGCCCGGTCCATTCTAGTTGGGCCAGAGGAGACAATGGCCTTCTTCAAGACCATGTACAAGGAGCCGGAGGGCAAAAAGATGATAACCGATATTGGTTCATATGGTTTCCAATGCGGTCAGAAGGATGAGAGGTCACTCCTCTACTCCAGGCTTCAGAAGAGGGACCCTTCCTTTGACCCGGCCAAAGTGAAGCTCCCGGCCTTGTATACGGAAGAGCCAGCTCCCCCTTTCCCCTAGAGTAGGTTAGGGTTTGATTTGAGAAAACTTTGAATTTTCCCAAGGCCTGGGGGATGTCCGGCCTACTCCTGACTTGCGTAATATTATCTTTTGTTTTGTATGGTTTTCAATTTACCGGCTTGTTTCTTCTTTCAGTTTGCATGGTTTGATTCCTTTTTCTCGCTTGCTCAATACTTCTTGCATGGTTGTTTTCCTTGTTTGGTCCTTACTTGAAGTTGCATGGTCAGACTTACCTTTTCTTGAACATGCTTGGTTTTACTTCCAAGCAGAAAACAATAACTGGCCTTATACCTCAGGAATCGTTTTAAAGAACGTCCAGGGCATCTCATGTCCTGGTCCTGAAAACGTCCAGGCCTCATTGGCTTGGTTGACGATTTTATTGAATATGCTTGATTCCAAGTCAAAAGAAGTAACCGGCTTTATCCTTTGTAGTTGTCCAGGTCACCTCATGTCATGGTCTTTGGTTAACGCCTTAGAAACGTCTAGGTCTGGTAGGCTTTGTTGACAGCGTCCAGGTCAATTCCATCTCTTGAAAATGTCCAGGTCATGTTATGTCCTGGTCAAGTACAAGCCTTGAAAACATCTAGGTCTTGCAACCTTGAAAACGTCCAGATCTTGTGGCCTGATTTGTCTTCCGGACCGGCTTGTGTCTAGGTTGAACTGCAACAAACGTCCAGGTCACCTCATGTTCTGGTGTAGTAGGCTAGGTTGGAAGTTTTGAAGACCACTTTAGACGCAAGGCTTGAAAACTTCCAGGTCATCTCATGTCCTGGTCTCTTGACTTGAAAACGTCTAGGTCGGTTTCTTCCTCACCTGTTTCCTGACCCAGTCAACTTCCAGGTTCTAATGGCTTGGTTGCAATATGTAACCAGCATGACGTCAAATTTCCTGTCCAGGTGCCGGGTCAAAAATGTGACCGGTCAAAAAATATTTTTTCCAGTTTTGTCTGATTTCATCAAATCCGCCAACTAAAAAGTGACCGGTCACTTTTCTCAAAGTTGATCGGTCAAATTTTAATTTTTTCCCATTCGCATTTTCTTGTCAATCCAGAATATCAAAAAGTGACCGGTCACTTTTGACCATGCCACCTTCTTCTCCCCCTCTGGCCTAGGTGTCATGCCTAACAGCAACCTTGCTCAAATTTCAAACGAATAATCCGAAACGGTTTTGGAATCATCAAGTCTCAACATCAAGACCCGAACTTTCTTCGGAGATTTTGACCATGTCCTATGATCGCGAACCCTCTCCAAGGTTCAGCCCTCTTCCAGGCAACACCCTTCTTCCAGGGCCCCTCTTCCAGGTTTTAAGTTTTTTAATGTGCCATTCTCTAATCATTAGGTTGACCTAGCCAACCCAATCTTCCCACGTGGGGGTATGCCGGTGAGAACCAGCCCTCATCCAATCTTACATGTCCATATGTTATGCGTTTGAAGTGAATTCTAGTCTTCCCTAGACCCTTCAATCCGCAA